AAAGCAGGCCTGGTGGTGACAGAATCTCTGAGTACTTGCTTGTTCGCAAAGGATTTTATTTTTCCTTCAGTTATGAAGCTCAATTTGGCTGGATGTGAAATTCTGGGTTGAAAGTTCTTTTCTTTAAGAATGTTGAATATTCGCCCCCACTCTCTTCTGGCTTGTAGAGTTTCTGCCGAGAGATCTGCTGTGAGTCTGATGGGCTTCCCTTTGTGGGTGACCCAACCTTTCTCTCTGGCTGCCCTTAGTATTTTCTCCTTTATTTCAACCTTGTTGAATCTGATGATTATGTGCCTTGGGGTTGCTCTTCTTGTGGAATATCTTTGTGATGTTCTCTGTATTTCCTGCATTTGAGTGTTGGCCTGTCTTGCTAGGTGGGGGAAATTTTCCTGGATAATGTCCTGAAGATTATTTTCCAGCTTGGATTCATTCTCTTTGTCACATTCTGGTACACCTATCAAACGTAGGTTAGGTCTCTTCACATAGTCCCACATTTCTTGGAGACTTTGTTCATTCCTTTTTGCACTTTTTTCTCTGATCTTGGTTTCTCATTTTATTTCATTGAGTTGATCTTTGACTTCTGATATTCTTTTTTCTGTTTGGTCAATTTGGCTGTTGAAACTTGTGCATGCTTTGCGAAGTTCTCGTATTGTGTTTTTCAGCTCCTTTAATTCATTCATATTCCTCTCTAAGTTATCCATTCTTGTTATCATTTCCTCAAATCTTTTTTCAAGGTTCTTAGTTTCTTTGCATTGATTTAAAATATGTTCTTTTAGCTTACAAAAGTTTCTCATTATCCACCTTCTGAAGTCTAATTCCATCATTTCATCAGTCATTCTCCGTCCAGCTTTGTTCCCTTGCTGGTGAGGAGCTTTGGTCCTTTCTAGGAGGTGAGGTGTTCTGGTTTCAGGTGTTTTCCTCCTTTTTGCACTGGTTTCTTTCCATCTTTGTGGATTTATCCACCTGTCGTCTGAGTAGTTGCTGACTTTTTGATTGGGTCTCTGAGTGGACGCCCAGATTGTTGATGATGAAGTATTTCTGTTACTTGGTTTTCCCTCTACCAGTCTAGCCCCTCCACTGTACGACTGCTGAGGTCCACTCCAGGCCCTGCTTGTCTGGGGTGCACCTATAGCAGCTGCAGAACAGTGAGGGATGCTACCAGTTTCTTTTTCTACTATCTTTGTCCCAGAATGATGCCTGTCAAATGTCAGTCTTTTGGATACAGAGGGGTCAGGGAGCTGCTTGAGGAGACAGTCTGTACTTTATAGGAGCTCAAGTGCTGAGCTGTGAGCTCTGTTGTTAATTCAGGGCTGTTAGGCTCCTACGTTTACAGAACTCATAAAAAAAATCCTTTTTTTCTCAGATGCTCTGTCTCGGGGGGTTGGGGCTTTCTTTGTGAGTGTCCGTTGTGCTGTCCTGCCCAGCTAGGAGGCAGTCTAGTCACTATTTGCCTGCCGAGGCTCTGCCCTGCTGGTGTGAGGTTCGCCCTGTTGCTGCAGGCTCTGCCCTGCTGCTGCGGTCTCTGCCCTGCTGCCTCAAGCTATGCCCTGCGGTGGAGTCCCTCTGTTGTGGCGGGTTGCCTCAGCAATGGCAGGCTGCATCAGCAATCAGCGTGTACCTCAGTAGGGGTGGATTGCCTCAGTAATGGCGGATGCCCCTTTCCCACCGAGCTGCACCGTCCTGGGTTCAGCTGTGCCCGCAGTGAAACTCTCCACCCGGAGCATTTGGAATCGCCATTTTGTTTGTCCCACTGCACTACCCAAAACGACATTTCCCTGGAATCTCCTGGCCTGGCTCACTGTCCAAGTCTCGTTCAGTCAGATAGATATGCCAATCTGCCCTCTCAAGTCTCAGATTGCTGGTTCAACAGGGCACCCGGACCAGTGTGCTTTGTGTGGAGCGCTGTGGAGCACCGGTGCGCTACAGCACCGGCTGCCGGCTGCACCGGCCAAAACCTCTGCCTGGTGTCCCATGTCTCTTTTATACCTGGGAATTTCCCCGTTCTGTGGGCAACAAAGATCCGTCTGGAAATGCGGTTCTGACTCATCCTCCATGCGTTCACCGAGAGCTTCAATCCTGGGTTGTTCTCACCGCGCCATCTTGAGTCCCCCTCGGTGTTCTTGTTAAATGCTGATTTGATTCAGTGGGCCTGGTGTAAGGCCTAATTAACATTTTGAAAGTTAAAATTGTACATTTGGTGACACCAATTCTGCTGTTCTGTGGACCACACTGAGTAGTAAGGACATATAATACATTTTAAAAATGCAGATTACAGCACCATTTCCCAATACATGTAATCAGAATCTCAGGGAGGGGGCCTTAAGTAAGCTCCTTAAGTAATTCAAATACATAGCTGAGGGATTGAAATCTCTGTATTAAATGCCTATCTCACAGATATGTCATTATGTTGAAATGATACAATCCTGTAAGAGAGTACATTGCATAGTATTAATGGATGCTATCATTAATGAAAAAATACTAAGTTGTGAACATTAAAATCAAAGAATTTCTGGAATGTAGGAAAGTCTTGAAAGGCAGAGAGGTGAAAGGCAGAAAAGGAAAGTTATCATATCTGAAAAACTATCCTATAGATCATACAACTTGGGAAATGAAGACTCTCAGGTTGTAGGGACACTAAGGTACCAGCCTATTTACCCTCCTGCCCAACTTACTGTGTCTGAGGTTAACTCCAGGGCCCTGATCCAACATCCTCCACCCCTTTATTCGTTGGAGGCATATGATGTAATTGCCTTTATAGTCATCGCCTGTGTCTGTAGCCACCCTTCTCACATCTCCCTTCCTACCTATCCCTGGACCTAGGGGACTGTACATCCCAGAAGAGTCCAGATCCTGGAAGAACTCATTACAAACAAAGCAATTACACAGGGCCTCTCTAGAACAAATTATCTTAGAGTCTTGCAACAGTGACTGATTACAGTTGCTGATCACATCTTACTACACTTTGGGGGATCATGAGAATGGAGAGCTCAGGGATGGGTGCTTAATCATTGCGTGCTTAGGGAATGGAGAGTACGCCTGTGAAGCTGAGGCCTACAACTTGAGAAGTGAATAAAAATGGTTGGAGAAGTTGTAAAAGTAAGCAGGGACCAGTCCATAAATGTCCTAAAATATCTGAAGGGTGTTAAGAGTTTAAGCTTTATCCTGTAGACAACAAGCCATTAGTGGTCTTTGAATAGAAGACAACTGTGGAAGGACATATGTTTTGGAAATATTTCCAGGTGGCAGAATCTCTCACTATACAAATAGGCCCTAGGAGAGAGAAAAACTGTAACCAACAAGGATCAGACTTTCATGACTCAACCATATACAGATACAGAGAAAGGACAGGAGTAAGAGAAAATATGAACTCTCTGATCACATTCAATTCTTCCTCGGGCCAATACGGAAAAGCAAATCCAGATCTGCAGCCCTTTGAGTTACTTCTAGCTCCTTACCTTTCTAGGAAAACCTTAATAACCAGACACCATCATTATCCCAACCACTCTCCACATGTCAAGTTACCTCCTTGTACTAGCTTTTCCTTATCCTACAATTGATCACAAGACCACAACTGACATTTACAACTCCTTCTTCCACACCTAGTCCATGTTCCCTTTTTCTTAACTGCGGCTAGGTTCACCCTTCCTTCCTTGTAAACCTGCATCCTCAGTGTTATTGCTTTTCTTGGGTTGCTGTAATAGTGTTTCATTAACCTTTACTGACATCCAAAAGAATCCTCTGCATAACAGATATGGTCTTCCATTTCCTCATTATGCAGAGAAACACAATTTTCCATTGTTAACTGGGATTGAAGTACCACAGGCAGTAGAGTAACCCCCTTTCTGCCTATTGATTCAGAAACATAAGGAACCAAAATTGCCAAATGGCAGTCTCAACTTTCAGTAGAATGGAACCAACCAAGCACTTCTTGTAAAAGCATTCCTCCCTTTAGAATCATAACAGACACTTCCTGTGCACGACTTCAGATTCTCTCAGCCATCCTCTTATTCCAGCCACAGCTGCAGTAACCAATTCTGCGTAGACTTTGACCAGCTTCACACAGATTCAGTCTGACAGTATTACCTCAGGCCTGGTCCATCTGCTTGTGTCCTGCCATATGGTTTCTCTGACCCCATGGGGTGGAATATCATGGAAAACCAGCCCAATACTCATACATACCCAACCAGAAAGTGGAAGAGAGTTGTTGCTGTGTTTGTCACCCCTTAAGTACAGGTGCTGGGAGCTTATGCATATATGCCTTAAGTCCTCCTAGTGGCTGCCAACTCATTAAGCCATCCTAGTAACTGGTCTTCCTCCTTCCCTACTTAACACCCCCACTATTGCTTACTTCATGTGAACTAAAATTCTCAAATAAACTACTTACAAGTAAGACTTTTTCTGTCTCTACTTTTTGGGTAAGTAAAGCTATGGCAGAAAGTAAGATCTGTAAATCAACAGAGCCCAAAATTGTGGGGGTAGGAAGCAAAAGTTCTGTGGGTACGTTACTTGGTCTAATAATGAGGAATGTCAGCCCTGCTACCATTCCGATTTCCAGACTCATGAATCATGGCTATGGGAGAAACATATGGGAGAAATATATGAGCTCCTGGTTCAAAGCACACCTACCTTTCTGGTACCCCTAATTTTTGTTACTTTGTGAACTGCTTTGTCTCTAACATTTGCAACAATGCCTGGCACAAAGCAGATTTTCATTAAATATTTGAATTCAGTGAACCACACAGACTAGCAGTTCCAGAACAATGCTTAGTAACAGTACTGACAGTGGGCAGACTTGTCTTTTTCCTGATAGTGCAAATACCTCTAGTATTTCCCCCTTAAGCCTGATACTGGCTTTTAAGCTAACTCAGATGTATTATTATCCCATATTAAATAAGCATGATCTATTCCTGTTATAGTGAGCACTGTTACCTAGGATGGTGGTAAAATTTTAGCAAATATATAATTTTAATAAAAACATTAAAATTATGCTTCAAAAACTCCACATTTAAAAGGATTCAAGTACTTTAATTCAACAAGTGAAATACAGGAAAACAGTAGCTATAAAACTATGGAGATGGTAAATTAAGCAATAACAGAAAACTGCTATAATTTATGCTATTTAAACTTCCTTTTATCCCTACTTAAGTTTCATTCATTACATTAACGTAATACTGCATCTCAACATCTGCAATTTTGACAAATGCCTGGAAAGTTTTTTGTTCAGAAACAGATGCGGGTCTGACAGAAACACATTTGAAAATGTTCTTTTTCTGGTCATAGTTGCCAACACATCTATGAACTCGGCCTCTAATCAGTCTTGGAAGTTCACGATCCTGTTTTTCAAAAAATAAATATCAAAAAACTTAATTACTTCCTTTGAATTTCAATTTTTTAAAATATTGATACAATCAACTAAACATGTATCACCTTAAAATGCTACAATTCTTTCACGTAGGTCAGGGCCCTACTGTTGACAAAAGACTATGATAGTTATTCACATATTGGTGCCCTGTAGCAGAGGAGACCCTCACTTGGTAGGACTTTTACAAGCTAGCAAGTTGTTGCTTCTTCAGAGACTGAATAATTCCCAGGGTAACAACACATTAATTATCCACTCTTATATCAGATTCTCAGAGTTCCACTTTCAGTAGGCAGCAGACTGGGTGATTCAAAACAGCTCATTGGATAAGAGCAATTAGAATAACTGGATGAAATGTTTTGTTGAAAATCTCCTGGCTGGGTGTGGTGGCTGATGCCTGTAATCCCAGGACTTTGGGAGGCTGAGGTGGGTGGATCATGAGGTCAAGAGATTGAGACCATCCTGGCCAACATGGTGAAACCCCACCTCTACTAAAAACACAAAAATTAGCTGGGCATGGTGGCACACGCCTCTGGTCCCACCTACTCGGGAGGCTGAGACAGAAGAATCTCTTGAACCCAGGAGGTGGAGGTTGCAGTGAGCCGAGATTGTGCCACTGCACTCCAGCTTGGCAACAGAGCGAGATTATGTCTCAAAAAAAAATCTCCTTGTGGCCAGGCATGGTGGCTTACACCTATAATCCCAGCACTTTGGAAGGCCAAGGTGGGTGGATCATGAGGTCAGGAGATCAAGACCATCCTGGCCAACCTGGTGAAACCCCATCTCTACTAAAAATACAAAAATTAGCTAGGTGTGGTAGTGCCCACCTGTAATCCCAGCTACTTGGGAGGCTGAGGCAGAAGAATCACTTGAACCTGGGAGGTGGAGGTTGCAGTGAGGCAAGATTGTGCCACTGCACTCCAGCCTGGCAACAGAGCAAGACTCCATTTTAAAAAAATCCTCATAAGCATCAGAGAGATATCAAAACAGTGAGGAATTACAGAGACCCCTTCCCCATCTAGAAGAGTATGGGAGTCTCAGATGAAACCTGATTTGGGGGGTGCTTTCTCCCTGTGATATCTGCAGATTACAGAAAGGCAGCTGAGATTCTAAGAAACTGAGCAGAGCTTTCAGACTTGTATATGTGGGAAACAAGTCTGAGGCCCCCCAAAAAAAGAGATTCCAGTAACCACGCCAACTCTGACCCAAGGCTTACAGTTGGTACTCAAAAGTGCTATGTCTTTAGAGACAAGTAAATCAGAAAAAGATTAGCAATCTCCAAATCCTCTCAATTATGAATAAAATTAAAGCCTTCTGAATTGCTTTCATTAAATAGTCACAAAAAGCACTAATTATAAGGGAAAAGACTGATGATTGATAAAAGGATTGTATTAAAATGAAAAACTTCTGTTTATCAAAAGCCATCATTAAATGTGAAAAAGCGAACCATGTGTATGAGAAAATATTTGCAATGCACATTATGGACAGAAAACTTATTCTCAGAATAGTTAAAAAATTCCTAGAATCAGTAAGAAAATGACAAATAACTCAATAGAAAAAACAGCAAGATGCCCAAACAGACTTTACAAAAGAAGATATCCAAATAGCATATGAAAAGGTATTAAATCTCATTACTCCCCAGAGAATTATAAAGAAATAACACTCAACTTACTCACCAGAATGATTATAATAAAAAAGACTGACAATACTAAGCGTTGGTAAGAATACAGAGAAACCACAACTCTCTTACATTGCCTGTGAGTATTTAAATTGACAAAATCCTCTGAAAGATTCTTTGGCAGTAACTACTATATTTGAACATACACATGATCTATGACCCAGCAATTTTACTTCTTGGTATATATCAAACAAAAATACATGCAAATGCATAAAAGACATAGATAAGAATGTTCATAGAACATTATGTGTAACAGAAAAAATCCAGAAACCCAAATCCCCACCAACAGTGAAATAGAAAGCTGTGGTATATTCATGCAACATAATATTATACATAGCAATATAAATGAGTGAACTACAGCTAGATACATCATAGATGAATTCTACAAACTTTGTCAAGTCAAGGAAATTAAATATTTTAAAAGATATACTGTATGATATTATTTCTATAAAGTTCAAAAACAGAATTGATGACATTAAAAGCCAGGCTAGTGGTTACTTGTAGGTAGAAGACAAGACATAGTGAATAGGAAGAGGCAAAAGAGGTTTGGGGGTGATGGCAATATTCTATTTCTTAACCTCGGTAGCATTCACTTTGTGATACTTCCTAGAACTGTACAGTTAAGATTTTTATTCTTTTCTGTAAATGTTATACTTCAATAGCAAAGTTTTTTTTTTTCAAAAAAAATCAGACTAAAAATAATACTCATTCAAAATATTATAGGAATTGACATGACAATTATTTCTTGATCACCTACTATGTGTCACGCACTGTATATTCATGTTTCATCATTTAATCTGCATAACACCCTTTTAAAACAGGAGTTTGTTTCCCCATCTTATAGATTTTTTTAAAAATCTGAAATTCAAATAATTTAAGCAGGTTACTTAAGGTCATAAAACTAGTAAATGCTGGAGTAAATGCTAGAATCCAAGTCTGATTTCAGAATTGAGGACAATTTCAGAACTAAGGTTAAACTTTTACAAAGTATGTAGCTCTATACAGCCTCAATGTATGTAGGTCTACAGCCTCCTTTGCAATTTCCAGACTTCTGTGTCAGCAAGCCAACTACTTCCAGTTCCCTAAACAAGTGAAGCTCTCTCTTTGCTTCATGTCTTTGCATATGCTGCTTCCTCACGTTAGACTACATCCTTCTTTCCCTCCCCAACACATCTGGCTGAGTTGATTCTTACTAGTCCTTAAAGATCTAGGATAAGTTACCACCTTCTTTAAAAATATTTCCCTGATCTGTCCCACCTTTCCTACCTACTTCTTCAGCACCCTGCACATACCTAGCTCCACCATGCTATTTACCATACCACAGTGTAACAGTTCTGTACCATTCTACCTGGGATTACAAACTCTTTGGGGGAGAGAGCCATTTGCCATTTATATCCCGCTTTATATCCCTCATATCCAGCACAGTACCTGGCACATAGAAGGCTCTTCATATTATACAAATAAACAACTTTCATATCAGAACTAAAACCAAAGTGTTGAAAGTACTATATTGTTAACAGAATTTCTATTTCAACTGAATTGTAGCCTGCACTTTTATATTTTGTTGACATAGGCTTTGTGAAGAATACTTTTAAAATACTCACAATTTCATAAAATACACAAGGCAGAGTATTTTTCCCATCCCTCAGGAGAAAATTCTTTGAATAATATGGGCCAGGTGTAACAGCCGAATCAAGAACAGCTAAGCAATATTGAAATGGGGGAAAAAATAAATGTTGGTAAATTGCAAATAAAATTTAACAAAGTTGATGTTTAAATAACTATTCATATGATTTATAGTTTTTATACAGTAATAATAAAGAAGACATTTTAAGAAGTGAAGATATTTCTCAGACAGTTTTATATGAAGGAAAACAAAACTTCTGACTCTCTCCAACTTAGGAACAGATCATATGCCAAGCTCATACAATTGACAATAAACGGCCATCTGAAACTCTTTCCTTAGAATGTGCAGTATAGAGTGGTTAAATCCCCAGAAGAGTCTACAATATTATAATAATAAAATGCACAGGTATAACAAATAAGCATCATAATTTAATGAAAAAAGAAACATTGAATGAGAATCGGGAGTCAGGTGTTGAAGTCCCAGGTCCTTCAACTTACTAATATTTTGTGACTTTGGCAAACTGAGTTTTTAATTTATTTTCATTATACACATTTAAGGTATAAAACATATTTTCATATATATACATATATGTACATATATATAACATCAGTCCTACAGCAAGAAAATTAACATACCCACCAGTGTCCATAGGTATGTTTTTGTGTGTGGTAAGAGCACCTGAAACTACTCTCGTAGCAAACTTTTAATATACAATACAGTAATATAACTATAGACCTCCTCTGCGCATTGAGTCTCTAGGCTTATTCATCCTACATAACTGCAAGTTTGCCCCATTTGACCTACATCTCCCTATTCCCTCCTCCTTGAGTAAATTGCTTAACCACTTTCAATTCTGTTTCTTCACCTATAAAATGCAAATTGTAATTCATGTTTACCTCAAGAAACTATTATCAAATGACAGCATTATTCATTTATTTAATAACCATCTACTGAGTTATTTTGAGGCTGGCCTCCATTTGTTCTAAAAAAGACCCAGTTATCCTTTAGTAAAATTCCATTTTTAGCCACATTATCTGGATAGGATTTGTCCCCATCCTCAGATCCAGGAGTGAACTGTGAGTGACTTAATTCAATCAGCATATTTTATTACTCAACTACACAGTTCAGGGTTTCTATACTGGGTGTGTTACATTCAGAAATGATTATATGTAAAGACTCATTTGTTAGTTTCTAGGAAAGGGCAACCAGAAGAAAAACCTAAAAATGTGATAGTGTGGCATTAAAGAATGCATAGTCTACAGAAATTTAATAATCAACTTGCTACCATGAGGGGAGAGTCAGAAGCTTCTGGAGAGACTATAGTGTGGAGCCTAAAGATGAAGCCAACACTATGACTGCCCAGAAAGATGGAGAGAAATCACTCTGCCATCTCTTGAGCAGCTAGATCAAGCTTTGCCTAAAGTCAAAACCCCAGCTGCTTTTTAGTTTCATGAATAATTCTCTATTATTGTTTAAAAGCCACTAAGGTTTTTTTGGGGGGGAGGTGATGGGGCTTGCAAATGAAAAGGACTTCCTATATATTGTGCAGTGTGCTAGACGTTAAAGTCTAACAAAAAGGAAGTATCTACCTTAGGTAAGTTTAGAGTCTAGCCTAGAACTCAGGATTATTAAAGCACTATGAAAGCTAACCAACACATATAAAAGCATGGAACCCCTTCATTTCCTGGTAAGAATGTCTACTGCTGTCTATATTGGGTATTGTGATATTTTTAAAAGGATTATTCTGGAGTGAACCTGAACAATTCACCAAAGAGAACCTGGGGAAATTAATGGAATTAGCACATCCTTTTAATAGGCTCAGGCTATATCTAATATTTCTATTCTGCAAATGAGGTGAAAGCCAAAGGCATCCTTCACATAGGAAAAAGCAATTTAGTGGGAAGTCCAACAGGGTTTAAGATATTTGAAATCGACATTCTACCTCCGACAGTATTCTAGTTCTGACAGAAAACAGACATGAAACAGAATACCATCTACTATCTCAGTTGTATAGCTACCCGTAAGAACTGAACAAAATAAGAGCTAAGACAAGCTTCAATGTCAAGTAGTAACAGCCATACCAATCAGCTCAGAAATATGCTTCAGGCAAAATGAGTAGGACTTGATGAAGAATCCCTGAAGTATATGGGAGTTCCAGAGGCCAGAGGCATGGAAACCTCCAAAAAGCCAAAAGTGAAAACTGAACAAAACCAGCCTGGCCAACACCTTGATTTTGGCACTGTGATATCCTGAGAATAGAATGCAGTCGGCCCACATGGACTTCTGATCTACAAAACTTGAGTTAAGAAGTGGGTGTGGTTGTTAACTGCTAAGTTTCCATTAATTTGTTAGGTAGCAATTGAAAACTAATATAGTGTGTTTACTCAGAGTCTGAGTCGCTATTGAATCCAATGTCACTTCACATAATAAAGCTTTTTCCTTATTGGTAACAAGAGAGGAACTGGAATCATTTTTAGGTGAAAGTTAACATGTGAAATGAATGCACTGATGGAAATCTGAGACACTGATCACTACTTGCTGAGGTCTGTTGGGCAGACCTTGACTCAGTGACAGATAGATGAAATACACTTATACACTTAGTACAGTGATTTGAGTGGGCTAGGGATGGTCATCAGCTGCCTTTAGAGGGCAACTGCAGCTAACTGACCACTACTCCTTATATATACACATTTATAGTTACATTTATATATAAATATAAGGGGAAGGAGGCTGTATCTTTCCTGTTGCTGCTATAACAAATTACCACAAACTTAGTGGCTGGCTTAAAACAACACAAAAGCATTATTTTAATAGTTATGGAGGTCGGAAGTCTATAATGAGTCATCAAAGCTATGTTCCTTTTGGAGGCTCTAGAGTAGCATCTGTTCCCTTAATTTTTCCAGCTTCTAGAAGATGCCTGCATTCTTTGGCTCATGGCCCCTTCTACCATCTTCTAAGCCAGCAAGGTAGTGTCTTTCAATCTCTGACTCTGACCTTGATGCCTTCTTGTATAAAGGACCCTTGTGATTACACTGAACCCACCCAAGTAATACAAGATAATCTTCCCATTTCAAGATCCCTAACTGAATTACATCTGCAAAGTCCCGTCTGCCATATAAGGTAGCATTCACAAATTTTGGTAATTATAATGTAGACATGTTTAGGAGGCATTATTCTCCCTACCACAGGGACTATTATTAAAACTTCAGTTATTTGAATATACTTTAGGGAGTAGCAAAAATCAGACTGTTTTATTTGGAAGAAAAAGGACTAATCAGATATTAAAACTTGTCCAAATAGTATTACCGAAGTATTTTTGAAGTATTTTACTTACCTAATACTTCAAAAAGAAGTACAGTTTTCTGAACATGTTCACGCCAATACTTCATGCTTTCAATAACTGCAGAAATAATTCTTAAAGAATTGTCTTTTTCCTTAAACTGTACCTGATACAATGAGGTTTCCTTTTGAAAAAAATAAAAAACAGCGTTAGAAAAACATTTCTTTTTTTCATCATACTCATTTATTTTCTATATAAAAATTTTAAGTCCTTATAATGGACAAATGTGTAAAAAGAACTACTGAAAATTTTAGTTACCTCCCTAAATTAATGCCATCATTACTCTATTGGAGGAGGAGAAACCAGGGTGCACTTGGAGACAATTAATCAAGAGGAGAATTATTTTATGGGCACTTGTTCCCTCATTCATTCACCAAATATTTTAAAGCATCATATGCCAGATCCTGTGACCAATATAGGTAAAGCCATTCCTTTCCCTAATGCACTCACACTCTAGTGAAGGAGCCAGACACATTCATTCATTTACTTGTTTCAAAAGTGTTTATTGGGCACCTCCTACCTGACAAACATAGCTATTAAGGAAACATTCATGGACAAAACAATCAAGATATCCACTCTCAAAGATTTTATAGTCTAGTGGAGGATTTATAAAATAAATAACATATAACAGAATGTCAGGAAATGTACTTTTTAAAGAAAAAAACACAAGGCAAAGGGAGAGAGAGAGAGACGGGGGTTATTATTTTAAGTGAGTTGTTGAATTAGGACAGAGGGAACAGCAAGTACAAAGGCCCTGAGAATGGAAAGTTCTTGGCATTTTTTAAGATCAACTAAGAATAAAGTGTGTTGAGATACCAATTTTCAAAGGTAGGGGGACACTCTTCTTTGTGAGAGTGAGGGTTGTGAAGAATACATGATGAAACTTTTCTTCAAAATACAAGTAGTTTCCTCCCTCTTAACCAAGATCCTAACATGCCTCCTGTTGATGATTATGGCCACAGTAAACCCCTGTTACTAAGGTGATTATGTCATACAATTCTTGAGTGCAAGGAAACATAAAGTTGAGAACCACTGTGAAACATGCTTTATTAGTCTTTTTTCCAAAAAACACAAAACACGCAAAAACAGATTTTACCCCAATGGCTTATGCTTTTTCAGACATACAGGCAGCACAAAAACTAACAACAGTAAGAAGCTGTAAGCAATCCTAGGCTGAAAGGACAAGAGGAGAAAATAAAAGTATCAAGCCCAGGAAAGCTATACTCATGAAAAGGCTACATCATGCAGTGACACAGCCACTGCTGGCAATAGAATATTTAAGACTGGATTATTTAAGACACGCTTTGATGTCATACCAGTGACTCCTACTGGATGACCTCTAGCAAAAGCCAGCAAGTAAAGAATCTCAGGATGATGTACTTTGTAGGACAATTCAGCCTTCCAGAACAGAGAAGGGCAGGTGAAGAATCAAGTGGGCCAAGGGGCCAGGGAGCAGAGATGAGGAATAACCAGCACAAATAATATATAAATAACATTTCCAAAGAATATTTAGAGCACTAAGTGTAGAGAGGAAGTACAGTTGGCATACAGCTTTAGGGAAGAATATAAACCAAAGCACAGAGTGTATGCTATGTTTAGAGAATTGTGATGAGTCCAAAGTGGCTAGAGCATTGGACAACTAGTAAAATATGAAATATGAGGCTACAAAGGTAGAATAGGACAAGATCATAAAGCAAAGTTCATCATAAAGAGAAGGTTGATCATAAAGAGAACTATGGACTGCAGTGCAAATCTAACCTGCCATCTGTTAGTGTAAATGCTTGCTGGAGGACAGCCATGCACATTCATTTACGTATTGTTTATGGATGCTTACAAGCTACAGTGGCAGAGTTGAGTAGAATTGAGTAGCTGTAACAGAGACAGTATGGACCATAAAGCCAAAAATACTTACTAACTGGCCCTTTAAAGAAAATGTTTGCTCACCTCTGTTGAAAAATACTTAGAATGACATATGAAGAGCCTCGGTAACTTTACCAACAGTAGATAAACTATCATTATCTTTAAAATGAGTATAAAGTGAAAGTCAAAAATCCAGTAGAAAACTCTCAAGTCTGAAAGGAAAAGGAGCAGCCACTCATATCCTCTAAGAAAATATTCTGGAAACTAACATTCACCCACTTCAATGGAACGAAATATTTATGCTAATCAAGTAATGTATGTCATGGAATTGATTTCAGATGCTCTTATCTCTGTAAATTTCTAAATATTTACCTCACATTTTAAAAAAATGTGAATAGGTCATTAATTGATATTTAAACATTTACCTTCAGAGTGTTTTCTTCTGGAAAATCATCCAACATTTGTTTCTTATATTGATTTTGTTGAAAATTGGGCTTAAATGTCTGTAATGTACTGTTTTTGTCTAGCTCTCTCATTGTGGAACCAGATATTTTTGATGAATGTGTTTGCCTAGGTAGCTCAGTTTCTTTGTTGCAAGATAAGTTAGGAGGTTCAGGTATTCTTAACTGTTTTTGTTGCTGAGCTCCCAAACTCATTGGACAGGAATTTTTTCCATCATTTGCCACTAAGTTTGTTCGTTTACACTGAGGCCTAAAATCATTTTTATTCCAAGTTTTCAAGTTGGTAGTTTTGTTGCCATCTTTGTAGCTGTAATGGGGAAAAAAAGAGGATTTGTTTCTATAAGGTTTCTTAATTACAAAAAAATTAAAAAATTAATTTATATGTCAGTTTGTTATTTAGAAAGCACTTTATAACTACTACTTAGAAATTCCAAATCCATCACAACAACCCTACAATATATTATTATCTCTCTTTCTAGATGAGAAGACTGATCCTTCATGAGGAATTAACTTGCCCAAAGTCATACAGCAAACTACTCACAAGTCTAGAGCCCGGGAAATGCAAGATCTCCCAACTCAGAGTCTAGTACTACAAAGTATATTTTTAAATAATAGCATCCTTCTTACCACCCAAGTGGTAAGATTTTGAGGACATTTGCATACTTCTTTATATATTCAAAATTTTAAAATTTTCTACAAAGTAAAATTTTAAGAAGTTAAACTGTGGCTTATCAATGATTTTAAATCACAAGGAGAATACATACAGGCAGGATGGATAATTGTTGATACTTGATTCGAAATTTTGTGCTTTTACTACGTAGCTTAAAAGCCCTATAATGAATTAAGTGCAGCATTTGCCAGCAACATTAAGTGTGTTATATCAACTGACCAGAACATTATGTTAGATGCGAATGAGGCCAAAATCAAAAGCATAATTTCTGAGCAGCCTAGTTAGGAGTTTCACAGGAAATAAAACTAGTCCAAGTCACAAATCCTTTTTTTGTTTGTTTTTTTCTCAGAGACAGGGTCTCGCTCTGTCACCCGGGCTGGCGTGAAATGGCGAGAACACAGCTCACTCTAGCTTCAATCTCCCAGGCTCAAGTGATCCTCTTGCCTCAGCCTCCTGAGTAGCTGGAAATGTGAGTGCTACTATGCCCAGCTAAGTTTTGTTATTTTTTCATACAGACAGCATTTCACCATGTTGCCCAAGCTGGTCTCAAACTCCTGGGCTCAAGTGATCCACCTCCTGGCCTCCCAAAGTGCTGGGACTACAGGTATAAGCCACCATTTCCAGCCCACAAATTCTTAATTCTCAATAATTTTCCTGGAAATACAAGTGTCACAAGAGGGTGACCAATACAACCCACCCTTTATTTAGGTAAATAATCCTAAAGAGGTCCAGGTATACTACTGAGCAGGAACAAATTCAAATTTTATGAGGCCTGAAGCTTGTATAATTTAGGAAACACTGTTAATTGGGTACAAAGTTAGTATAAAATAATAAGAAAGCAAAATTACAACAATTTAAGTTATAAACACCACAAACATCACAATACTCAGAAAAAATATTATTAGAATTATTATTAAATTAACTGCCTGATACCCTTTTATAGAAAGTTTTCCTACATTGATCACTTCTTCATATGACAATAATTTTATAATATTTTTTGGATTCATGATCTCATTATGTTGCCCACGTCAGTCTCAAACTCATGGGCATAAGTGATTCTCCTGCCTCAACCTCTGGAACAGCTGGTACTACAGACATGTACCACCACACCCAACAATTTTGTAATTTTATTTTCAATAAAGAGAACAGAAACAGTTTCGTCTTTCCTCTCTCTCACCGTTATAGAAATTATGTTTATTATTCATGGTCTAGAAAAATTTATTTCAGCTTTACAACTCTCTATTGGTAACAGTACATTTGTAGTAATATCAAAGATCACTGATCACAGATCATAACAGATATAATAATAATGAAAAAGTTTGAAATATTGCAAGAAATACCAAAATGTGACATAGAATCATGAAGTGAGCACATGCTGTTGGAAAAATAGCACCAATAGACTTGCTCAATGCAGGGTTACCACAAACCTGCAACTTGTAAAAATGCAAATCTGTGAAGTGCAATAAAGTACAATATAACGAGATAGGCCTACATAAAGAGGATTTGACTGGAACAGAGATCCAACTATATGCTGTCTACAATCAACTCAGTTTAGATTCACAAGACACATAAAAGCTTAGAATAAAGGGATGAAAAAGATATTCCATGTAAACGGCAACCAAAAGTAAACAGGGGTGGCTGAGCTTATGTCAGACAAAATAGACTAAGTTAAAAGTTGTCTCTAAAAACAAAGGTCATTATATAATGAAAATGGGTAAATTCAATAGGAAGGTATAAAAATTGTAAATATATACACATCCAATATCGGAGCTCCTAAGTATATAAAGCAAATATTGACAAACCCAAAAGAAAAATTGACAGCAATATAATAATAGAAAGAAAGCTCAATACTCTACTTTTAATAATAGATAAATCATCCAGACAGAAAAATCAATAAACAGTGACCTTGAATAACACTATGGATCAAATGGACCCAAAAGACAAACATAGAATTTGCCACCCAACAGCAGAAGACTACACATTCTTCTCAAGCACAGATGGAACTTTCTCCAGGATAACTCCCATGTTAGGTCACAAAATCAGACTTAACAAATTTAAGAAGATCAAAATCATTTCAAGTATCTTTTCTGACCATAATAAAACTAGAAATAAATAACAGCTAGAAAATGGAAAAATTCACAAATATAAAAACACACTCTTGAACAGCCATTGATCAAAGAAGGAATTAAAAAAGAAAAATTTTAAATTGTCTTGAGACAGAAATAAAACACAACATACCAAAACTTATGGGAAAGCAAAAGCAGTGCTAAGGGAAGTTTATAGAAATAAATGCCGAAGTGGAAATAAAAAGATCTCAAATAAACATCCTACCTTGATACCTAAAGGAATTAGAAAAAGAGTAACAAACTAAGCCCAAAATAAGCAGATAAAGGAAATAAGAAGGCTAGAGTAGAAATAAAATAGAGAATAGAAAAAAAAAAAGTAAAACTAGGCTCAGCACGGTGGCTCACGCTGTAATCCCAGCATTTGGGAGGCCGAGGCAGGTGGATCACCTGAGGTCAGGAGTTTGAGACCAGCCTGGCAAACATGGTGAAACCTCATCTCCACTAAAAAATACAAAAATTAGCCAGGTGTGATGGTGGGTGCCTGTAATCCCACCTACTCGGGAGGCTGAGGCAGGAGAATCACTTGAATCTGGGAGGAGGAGGTTGCAGTGAACCAAGATTGCACCACTGCACTACAGCCTCCAACAGAGTGAGACTCTGCCTCAAAAAAAAAAAAAAAAAGACAAAACTAAGAGCTTATTTTTTGAAAAGATAAAGTCAACAGCCCCTTACATAGACTAAAAAAAAAAAAAGAGAGAAGGTTTAATAAATTAAAGAGGAAACATAAAATGGATTTCTCAGAAATAAAAAAGATCATAAGGGGCTATTACGAACATTATATGACAACAAATTAGATAACACAGAAGAAACGGATAAATACCTAGAAACTTGCAAACTACCAAGATTGAATCAAGAAGATGTAGAAAGCCTAAATAGACCAATAAGAAGAAGATTACAGAAGTAATCTAAAACCTCTCAACAAAGAAAAACCCAGGACCAGATGACTTCACAGTGAATTATATCAAACATTCAAAGATAAATTAATACAAATCTTTCTTAAATTCTTTCATAAAATAAGAGGGAATACTTCTAAATTCATTTTATGAGGCTAGCATCACTCTGATATCAAAATCAAACAAAGACACTGCTAGAAAACTATAGACCAATATCACTAAAAAACATAGATGCAAAAACCCTCAATAAAATACTAGCAATGCAAATCCAACAGCACATCAAAAAAACTACCTAATGAGAACTCTGCTCACTACATGGGTGAGGTGACAGGTTTCATACTTTAAACCTGAGCATTAACAATAATCGCATGTAACAAATCTGCACATGTGTTCCCTATATTTAAAGCGAAAGTTGAAATCTTTTCTTAATAAATTACACACCATGATTAACTGAGATTTATTTCTGGGATGCACAGTGGTTTAATATGCAGAAATCAATAATGTTATACACCACAGTAGCAGAATTAAAAATAGATGCAGAAAAGGCATCTGACAAAGTTCAACATCCATTTAGTTTACTCTCAAAACAGTAAGTACAGAAGGAACATACTCCAACACAATAAAGGTCATTTGCAAAATTCCCACAGCTAACATCATAATGGGGAAAAACTGGAAGTTTTTTCTTGAAGATACAGTACAAGGCAAGGATGCCCATTCTCACCACTTCTATTACTGGCTGGGCATTCTAAATCTGAAAATCCAAAATTTGAAATTCCCCAAAATTTGAAAGTTTTTGAGCAACAACATGAGGCTCTATGGAAATGCTCATTGAGGCATTTCAGATTTTGAATTTTCAGATTTAGGATACTCAACTGGTAGGTATTCTGCAAATATTCCAAGCTCCATAAAAATCGGAAACATTTCTGATCCCAAACATTTCAGGTAAGGAATTCTCAACTTTTCTTCAAAGTCCTAGCCAATCAATTAGCCGAGAAAAAGAAATAAAAGGAGCGCAAATTGGAAAGGATGAAGTAAATGTCTGTTTGCAGATGACATGAACCTGTATGTAGAAAACCCTAAAAACTCCATTAAAAAACTGTTAGAACTAAAAAACAAATTTAGTAAAGTTGCAGGATACAAAATTAACATACAAACATCAGGAGCATTTCTTTACATCAATAATAGATATCCCAAAAGAGAACCAAGAGAATGATCCCACCACAATAACAACAAAAAGAATAAAATACTTAGGAATAAATAGCCAACATGGAGAAAGGGCTATACACTAAAAAGTATAAAACACTGACTTAAAAAAAAAGACACTGAAGAGAAAATAAATGAAAAATCCTGTATCATGGATTTGAAGAATTAATATTGTTAAATGTCTAAGCTACCCAAAATGATCTACAGATTCAATGCAATCTGTATCAAACATTTAATGATATTTTTCACAGAAATAAAAAAAATCCTAAAATATTAAACCACAAAATACTTTGAATAGCCAAAACAATCTTGAGAAAGAAGAACAAAGCTGCAGCCATCACACTTCCTTATTTCAAATTATACCTGAAACCTACAGTAATTGCCACAGTATGGTACTGGTATTAAAACAGCCACA